GTTGTCGTCGTGGTTTGCATGTTTGGGGAATCATCTTAAGCCTGTATGCGGGGACTAGTTGAATAAAGGCGATGTAGGGCGTTTATGGGGGAAAACACCCATCTAAAATTAACTTACACACTTGCACTTTCAGCAATTGCAGGAATAACATGTGGCAAGGGCAGTAGAAAGAGTGGCCGTGGAAGTTCATGAAACAGTTAGTATAGTCAGCCTGGATATGCTGTGCTGCGAGTCGAAATGATGGTGAGCAGGGGCAGTTCCAAAAAGAATGCTAAGCAAATTCATCAAATCTCCACCTAGGCCCTCCATCTACCCTCTACATACCCTAAATACCCACTATTAGGGGCCATATACCCCTGTTTAAGGAGGGTCCTGGCAAATAGCCCTAGAAATTGGACACCATAATGGGTCGCCCCTCTCTCACAAACTCCCACATGGCATATGAGCTATAGTCTAAACTCCTTTACGGGGGGTTATATCGGGGACTACTACAGAGTATTAAGGGGGATGCTAGGAGTTAAGATCCTAAATCCTAAGGCCTCTGCTGGGTATTAGGAGTTTAGACTGGGGTCATATCAGAACCAGCTAGGAAGATGCCTGCTGCCATGATCGCAGTGCTCGTTAAAAAGTCTTTTCACGTAGGATCCTTCAAGCTTGGAGTATGTTGTACTTGTAGCGTATCGAGGGAGCCAAACTTGATAAGTGCACCCCTGAACCCGGATCCTTACACCCTAGGCGCTAACGTGCGGAGACCCTGAACAGGTCTTTGAACCCCAGCCCCTGAACCCACCAGCCCCTGAGGGTCGGGAACCTTGAGCCCGTGACCTTAACCTCGGAACCTTGAACCCTGAACCCCTGAACACTCGTTTTCCTAGACCTTGAAGCTCGGGTCCCGACGCTGAGACGGTCATGCAGGGAGCTCCACACAGCACCTGGGCAGTGTAACTTGAAAGGCCTTGCATAGCTTGGGGGTTTTGTTTGTTACAGCCGCAGCAACCGTCGAAAAATCCAGCACCATAGTTAAGCGCTGCCCTGCATACCTTCATTCCACGCTAGGCGCCTTGCAGCCTATATATGATCGCAAGAAGCCCTGCGGCTTACATGCCTTGTTGTGGGCTGCGTGTGCTTCCTGAAGACAAGAAGCTCCAGAAGGAGTCGGGAACCCGCTCAAGGCGTTGCCGCGCAACCACGAACTGCGTGCAGCAATAAGTGGACAGGTCAAACCTCAGCAGCGGCAGGAGACTTGCGGTAATTTTCCTGATTATTCCGGTTGTATAGGGATAATGGAAAGGAAAATGCAAACTACTACAATATGCTGGGGTAATAGGAGGATACTGGAAAAGAACATGGAAACTACTATAGTATATTGGGGTTATGTGTTATGTGAAGTTCACAACCAAAAAATGCACTGCACCCAGCACACGCGCCCGCCACACAAACGGAGGTGCATCAAAAAGGTCACATCGCAAACCCTAAACCTTAAATAGTAGTTTCCATAACACCCAATATACCATAGTCGTTTCCATTTTCTGTTCAGTCATCCCTATATACCCCCATATGTCCCCATATAACCCCATATACCCCTATAAATCCCCATATAACCCTATATATCCCCTATATATCCCCATATATACCCGTATATCCCTATATATCCCCATCTCTCTCTATATATATATATATACAACCCTGTATATCCCTATAAATCCCTAAACCCGTAAACCTATCTTCCTACAACGGCACAGCTTGGTCTCCAGCGGAAGATCCATCATCTCCCAAGGCTTCAGGCCCTTCTCCTTTTTTCTGGGTTGCTGTTAAGGAACCTTAATTAAGTTACCATAATGGGTATGGGTTTTAGGGTTTAGGGTTTATACCCTATAATGGAGAATCAAATGGAAAAGACAATTGACAATGACATGGAAACTGGGGAAGTTAGGGGTTTAAGGAACTTAAGCTTAGTAACCATAAGGATCTTAGGTTTATAGTCCCCGTTAAGTAGACAGAATAGGGCTTTGGGTATATTATAATAGGATCTCCATATACCCCATATTCTATCTACTTAAGGGGGACTATAGGGTTTAGGGTTCAGGAATTTTGCAAGGTTAAGGCCTATACCTTCCCTGAACCCAAGCTCTGCTTTGAATTGCTGTGGATGTAGGCCTTACGCTCTACGCCCTACCTCGCACCGATTGAATGTACCTACCTGGTTTAGGGTTTAGAGTTTAGGGTTTAGGGTATGTAAAATAATAGCCCCAAGCCCGGAATTACAGCCATAAAGGCTGTGATTTTACATACTTTTAAGGTCCAGGTACAGATTAGTAGCACAGTAAACCACGTGAGTAGTGTTTTTTTGGTGGTTGAACCTAGTAAGATAAATATTCCTTATATAAAATACTATACCCCAAAAGGAGGATAGAATCTTACTCTATACTGGGTACCATAGTATCCCCAAATAAAATACCACTCAGTGGGGTCTATTTGCAGAAACCTTTTCTTGATGCAGGAGGTGCATTGCTGTGGCTACTGATGGTCCATGGGTCCGAAAACGGAAGCCTAGGAGCTCCCCTGAGCCCAAAAGAAACATTATACCTGCTTAGGGTTTAGGGTTTAGGGTCTCGTAGGATATGATCTGACGCTAGAGTAGGGGCTGAATATCCGCTTTAAAATTCCCCCCTCACACCTTGAAACCTTAAATCCTAAAAATCCTAAACCGTAAACCCTAAAGCCCCTTAGTCCTGGTGTTCTTCATGCCATGCTTTGAGTGCTGGCCTGCGCGATCAGGAGTTTAGGGTTTAGGGTTTTTGCAAACATGTCCTAGGGGGTCTGAGTGTTAGGGTTTAGGCCTTCGGATTTAGGGTTTCAGGGTGAGTAAGGTTTCGGAGTTAGGGTTAGGGGTGTAGGGTTTCAGGGTTTAAGGTAGTTTAAGGGTCAGCACTTTGGATTTTGCGCCCTGAAAGAACTATTCGCATTTAAGCTTTGGCTATTTTTAGGCCGTAGAGGTTGTTCCTGTTCTTTGGCCCTCACGGCTGCCCAAAGACAACTGCAGTAACCCAGAGAATGAGAGCAAGGTTTGAGGGGTATGTTCTCGTTATAGGGGGAGAATACGTGGGGCAATCAAAAGGGCAGCCCTTTGAGCTTCTCTACTGAACCCTGGTCCCACAAATTTCCCTCGGGCTGTTGCGAACACCCATTCATGTGTCCCTTTATCTCTAGACAACATGCTCTTCATGCTACTCAGAAACTGAAGCTCATGATTCAGTACGGCCTTGCGACGGCTGTCATTTCAGCTGACCCAAGCGCGAAGGCTTCCAAAATATCGGGAACCCCATGCATGCCCTAAACCCTGAACCCTAAGCTCTAAACACCAAACCTTAACCCTAAGCCTTAAGCCATGGATTATGGTATGTTGGAGTGTATGGAACCTACCGAGTCTCTATAAACATGGTAGCTGTCAAGTTTCCTGGACACTCCGGATGGTAGTTTTAGGGGGACCCCAACATGGACCCCACCCCAGTTATACACGGATTGTCAAGGGATGCTTTTGCAATTGCTCAGGCTTCTAGGGTAACGGCTGCTGTATGTCAAGTTAAAGCTGGCTGCCCGTGCCCGCTGCAGCCTTGTCGTGAGGATATTCCGCAGCACGGCGGGGCGATGTACTTAAAGGTTCATTGGTAGCTGTAGGTGGGGATATACCTGGGATGTCTACAGCTACAGCTAGAAAATGCTAGAAAGTGAGGTAGAGGACTTATACACCCCCACATATATCTACCGCTCAACATACAAGTAGCCACACATCAAACAGGCATTCTTGCATAAACTCCAGACCCTAAACCCTAAACCCCAAACCCGACCCTATAATCCCTAAAAACGCAATGCCCAGCCTGATGAGCTCTTGAAGGCAAGGCTCCACCGCAATTCGCGGGAGGCGCTTGATGTTCAAGTGCACAAAAGGTACCTGGCTTCTACAACTTTCTGGCTCTTCGAATTTTCTGTTGGGGCCTATATAGGGATTGGATTCCCTCTTTCCCTACTTAGAACCCGCAAGACAAGTATCCTGGTGTTGGAAGCAAGGAGACTACCGACATACCTCAAAGCAAGAAAGATAGAGACAGAGCAAGAAGGGCTGAGGAGACGAACTTTCGCTCTCCTAGACCCCCCTCCTACCCTCTATTCAGGCCTAAGTACCTGCTATTAGGGACCATATATCCCCAACTAAGGGTACAAGGAGGGTCCTGGCTTTTCCCGAATCCGATTAGGTTTTTCAAAGGCCCCCTCGACCCCAAACCCTAAAACAGCTCCTCAAAGAGTTGTTTGCAAGAGGTCTGCTTCCCCCACCTACCGGAATGCTAGCCCTAGGATAACATGTCTAAACTCTTGTGCCCAAAGCAGGTGCCATTCAAAGATTTAGATCCCCAGGGTAAAGAGAAGCCCTTGAATCTGCAGGAAGGAGCCGATTCTTCTCCATACACCAGAAATATGGTAGTTTCCCAGAATTAGGGGTACATGTTGGAGGGTTCCCATAATAAGGATTGTAATATTTTGGGGTCTGTATAGGGGTCCCCTTGTTTTGGGCTTCCTACACCTGAGAAGTTTAGTATCTTGTTTGGCGGTCCCTAGACTTAGGAGTATAGAAGATCGAAAAAGGTGTGCGGCACAGATGAAACCAAATTGGTGTCTATATCGGAACCCCCTTTTTATGCAAAATGCAAAACCCTACCATAACTCAACTCTGAACTTTTAGAGCAGGCCTTCAGCCACCTTTGGGTAGTTCACAGAATATTCTGTATAGAGGCCTTAATAAGAGGTTTAGGGATTATATAGGGGGGTATATAGGGACTAAATTAGGATAATGGAAAAGAACATGGAAACTACCATAATGGGTGCCATAGGGTCGAGGGTTTCCCATAATCCTCTTCTAATCTCTGTACATCCCTAGCCCCAAACCCCAAACCCTAAACCCTAGGGGGCCCTATTTCACCTCAGCCCTGGCAAGGATGGGTCACCGAATAGGTGCCCTGCGCCATTGACCTGGCAGAAGCATCCCAGTATGGGCATGTCAGGAGTTTGGGTTTAGGTTTCAAGTCTAAGGGGGTGTAGGGTTTAAAAAGTCCCTTTACAGGGGATATGGGTATGTAGAGGGTTTAGGTTTTCGGGATGTAGGGGCCTAAATAACTGGGCTGCTACCACCTAACTTCTCCGTTCGCCTCAGGAGATCATCGAGCATCTTCTCATTGGTGTGATCGAAAGGATAGCCGTGTAGGAAAACCACCTTGCAGGTCAGGAGTGGCTTAGGGCAAACACCTGCATGTGACTGAATCCGACGTTCGTGTGAAACAGCCACGCGTTGCGTGGGGATTGGATGTGGAGCCTAACCAGTCGAAGTAGCTTAGGGGTTTAGGGCTCAGGGTCAATCATTGGCGAGTTGGTAAGTACACGCTCAACCTCGGCTCTAAGCCATGTAATGATCTCACTTATCCCCATTACCAATGCCACTTCCTCAGTCCTCCTGACCGTTAAAGTATATAGGGTTTATCGGGAATATATAAGGGTACAAAATAGGTGTATATAGGGATAATGGAAAGAAACCGGAAACTACTATTTAGGCTTTAGGTTTTCGAGGGACAACTGGAGCATGCGGGAGGGAGGGTTGTAATTAGGGAGGCAATTGGGTAGTCGTGGGGTTCTATTGGGCTTGATAAGGATCCTATAATGGAAACTACTATAGTATATAGGGGTTAGATTGGGGAGGCTTGCTACGTGGCAGCTCAACTTGACATGAAAATTGAAGTCTCCCACTTATTTTGTTGAGTTTCCACATCGTGACGTACAAAACTGCGAAGGTCTAGTACTCACCAGGACTTTGTGTTGTTGGGCCGCCGCAATCTCAAGCAGCCTAGGCTCATAGCATAGAAATTGGGAATACAGATGTTTATAGTATATTTGGTTATATAGGGATAATGGGAAAGAAAATGGAACTACTATGGTATATTGCGTCCTCCCGTTGGTGATACATCTGATTTCTAGTATGAGGGATAGCAGTCATGCCCGCGGAGCATCATCAATCAAGGGCAACAGGATCTTCTTAGGACGACAACCTGTTTGAGAAGCGTTCGTGCGACATACCAAATACTGTCTTAAGCGCAACGAGGACCGGTAGGGACTCTGTATACTTGCGAGGAGAGGGGAACTTAGTAGGTAGGTAAAGATGGGGAGAACTGGGACCCGGTATACTTGCTAAGTCCTACGTGACACCCAAAGCAAGAATTAGACGAGAGAGCTGACCAACTTGCATTAAGGCAGGGCCAAAGTATGCGCAGAATGCTGATACTATCCGCACCTTGATACTGAATAGACAATGGCTGCTAAAGGAAAATGATGAGGAGGAACACCAAAAAGACACAAAAATAATCGTACACTGATTCGTGCAGCCAGGCACTAAATCAAATGAAGCTGAGGTCTGAGGTCTGAGGTCCCAGCAAAGTCGGAGTCTCTCCACTGCGACGACATGCAGTAGTGCCTTGCATGAAAATCACTTGGAGGTTACTTGGGGGGATTGCTGGGGTATAGTATGTGGCCTATAGGGGTTGAAAGAAAATCGACTAAGTCCCCCAACCCTCCAAGCAGGGAGCACGAGGGCAAACAACCAAGGAATGGCAAATGGGAAGGACACAGGGATCATAGAAGCTTTGCAGAGCATCCGAACACAGTAAACTGCAGATTCCCAACCGTATCACTTCTTGATTACCTACCCAAGGACTCTGCCTTTTTTATGGCAGCAACGACTACCACCCAAAACATGCAAAGGCATCAACTCCTGTATGACGATGGGTATGTATCAAAGTTAGCATTCATCCATCTCCAGAACCTTGTACACACACACACACACACCTTCATTGTTGCCCGTAAGCTCGGACACCTATCTGGACCTCGCAGAGCAGTCTAGACGACAATGTACAATGTACAAATAGCCCTGACAGCACCGAGATTCAAAGCTCCACAGCCCCACTGCTACTCGCGACTTGCAACTCTTTTGAATGGGAAGCTTTACCGATGCTTCATGTGAGCATGTCTGAACAGTGGGGGGATCCCTAACATAGGAACATATAGGAAGCCAAGAAAAAACCCACATTTTGGAGAAACTTCTGCCCAAAAGGGAGATGATGATGATGATGATGATGATGACAGTACCTAGAGTCCGGGGCAGATTTAGAAAGCAGATCCCCATTGAGGATTTCTAGAGACTACCCACGCCTGTTGATAAAAAAAAAAATCGTGCATGACCTTAGTATTCTGTAGTCCCAGTATTCCCAAGGTATAGGGTGCTTAGTGTCATACAGGATTTTTAGTTTCTACTGTAGTAGTATAAGGTGCCATACTGGGGGTTCTTCACTTTAGAGTTTTTTTCCAGGGGTCTGGGTAAAGGGGCAGGAGTTTGTTATGTCAGCAGGTCCCAGTCGCACATATGCCACATTCTCGAAGCCTACTGGCTCTGCAAGAGAGATGACCATGCTGCCTGATTGAGAGTTATGGGCTTGGTGCTTAGCGTTTAAGTTACTTGAAGGTGTATGGTAGCTACGTGGGCGTATAGGTAGGAAAACGCCAGACCAAGGATGTACTTCAAGGTGCATGGGTAGTTATAGGCCGCCTAGTTATAAGTGGGTGTAGAATCAGGACAGTTGTAGATGCAATTATGATATGACCTGATCTAGAGTGCCCATACAGGTATGACTACCCAGAATCATCAAATTGGGCTTTGGGGCTGAGGACGATCTCAGCATTGGAGGACAACGGTTGAGGTCCTTTCAACAATGGCTCAGTATTGTACACGCTGTTCTAGCTGAGGACCCTAAATCTTGAGACACACAGGTGTCGAAAATTCCGACATATGAGCTATAGTCTAAACTCCTAGTATCCCCCTTAATAACCCCTGTAGTAGTTCCCTACATAATCCCGTATATAACCCCCTTTAAGGAGTTTAGACCATAGCTCATATGTTGGTGGGAAGGCTTGCCAGGTCCGGGTCGCAGCAATGGTGCTCTAAAGGGATTTGAAAAGTGATTTACATGAGCCAGAATGAAAACTCCAAGTATCCCCTTTAATAAGCCCTATAGTAGTCCTCTAAATAGTCCCAAAACCACCCCCTGTAAGAAGTTTAGACTACAGTACATATAGTTTAACTATAGCTTACATCTGTCAGGCAACCTGGCATACGCATGGACGCAGGCGAGCAGACTACAGACTCGTCATACTTAGGCAAAGGTCACAATGTGATTCTTGGACAACGTGTTGCGCAGCCTCACTAGGTATCTCTGAAGGGCATTTTCGAATATCCTCAGGATCATGCACGGGTAAGTTGGGATTGCCTCGCAATTGAAACGGTGCGTGGGGTGACAGCTGAATTCAGACTTGGACACGCCGAGGCCTGAAGCATTGTCAAACTTCTAGTAAAGCCGGTGAGATTCGTTACAGCTGCGCCCGATAGCCTCGCAGACATATTTGGAGGCCCCTCAGGATTGCCTGTGAGTGGTATGAAAAGATTGTAGAGGGATTTGTACAGATACGAATTTTCAAAAAAACAATTCAAAAAAGACGTGAATCCTGGCTGTGGGGAATCTCAAGAAGGGATCCTTGGTTTTCCAAACCCCACATTCACCCAAATCCAAAGGCATGTCCACATGTACCAGTGAAATTCCGGAGCTTACAGCAAGCTCAGAAACCGGACTCCAGCCACGCCTGGTGGTTTGGTGTCGAATGAAATCTTATCCACTCAGCATTCAAGAACTAATTTAGATAAGAGCAGAAGCAGTACTAGAAGCAATGCGAAGTATAAGCATGTTGGCGTCTAAAAATGAGCAAGCATTAGGCATGCCAAAGGTCAGAGAATACGAGCCATCAAGTCAGATCCTATATAGGTGAGGCCGAAGAGTCTGCAACCTAAGGTCACAAGTAATGGCCCCGAATATGGGTGGCCCCGAATATGGGCGCTTAAGCCTTTTTGGCGGGACTCTAGGATCCTTGAGGGTACGTATGGGGGAAAAATACTAGGTGTATGAGGATGACCGGGTTAAGGGCCTATACTAGGGGCCCAAGACTTCATCTGAGTGCTCTTGTGGGCCAAGCCAAGTTGTTTTCAAACCCTGAACCCTAAAATACCGTAATATAGTTTCCAGTTTGTTTTCCATTATTACTAAGTGCCACCCTAAAAAAAGAGAAATCTTATGTCTTCTGGGGCTCCGGCCTGGGTGTAGAGCGCCCAAACCCAGGAGTTGGTCGATGAGCTGATGGCCAGTCATGGCTTCCTCAAGAAAGGGTTTGGAGTTTAGGGTTGAGGGTTTAGGGTTCAGGGTTTAGGGTTCAGGGTTCTGGGCGCAGGGTTCAGGGCTATTAGCGTCCCCTTTATGTAGATAGAACGTGGGTATATGGGTATCATATTGTGACTTTTGGGAAATTCGGTATTCTACCTGCTTAAGGGGACTGTAGACTTCTACAGCTCTTCCACACATAGAACTATTTTGTCAACATGTTCCAGTATGAAAAGGCATCATGTACGTATATCGCCTAACTCCCTCTCTATATATGTGTATATATATATACACGATACGATATGACATATACTACTGCGTCTAAATCTATGTATATATTTATATATGTATATGTATATGTATATGTATATATGTATATATACATATACATACACATAGGGGATAACCAGGAGAATTTGTTACGGGTCCTAGTCTTGGGGTTGGGGTTACCAAAACCATCTTATTTGGAAAGCGCTGGGGGTCCAACCTTGTTTGCAGCTTCGGGGTTGAGGTCTTAGGCTTGGGGAATTGGGCTTTAGGCTTTGGGGTTTAGGCTTCAGGATCTGAAGGTGTTTTAAGGGTGTGGGGGTCGTATAGGCAATCTTGTAGGGGTTTATCAAAAGGGTGGTTCAGGAATTTTCCACTTAGCAAAAACCGGCAATAAAAGAGCGAAGGAGAAGGGAACTGGCAACAACTACCTCGACTCCCCAAGTATGTAGAGTAATTGCCCTGTTGGCTGTTCCAAAATAGAACTACATAGGACGCTCTGGGTATCATGAAAACAAACTTGAGAGATCCAAATAGCACATTGCATATTCATTGACTATAGGGCCGCAAGTACCTCGGCAAAGCAAGTACCCTCCATAGGGCCCAGGCGCCGGCAAATGGGACCTACGCGAACCTTATCTAAGAGTATTTGAGGGACCCTGGTATATATCTCATTTGTAGACTTAGATCCTCAAGGAAGAGAATCAAAGCTTGCGCAAGTAGGTACGTAGGTATCATTTATAGACCCCAAACCCTAAACCCTAAACCCAACCTGGACCCAAAAGTAGGTAAAATAAGGGCCCCAAAACCCATAAGAATAGCCCAAAAGGCCATTATTTTACGTACTTTTGGGGTTCAGGTCTCAGTAACAGTTAGATAATAATCATAGTATGGTTATATATAGCCCTTAATAGGACCCCTACATATTGGGGTTAACCCTAAACCCTAAACCCTAAACCCTGAACCCTGGAGAAGGAATCGAAGTGGAGGCTCATCTTCTGCAGCTTCTGAGGTCTGAGTTGAGAAGCACTTCTCATAGACCAGAAGCCTCATCTGGAGGCCTGCCACCTCCTCACTGTTTAGGGTTTAAGGTTTAGGGTTGAGGGTTTAGGGTTGAGTTTTTTTTCTTTAAACGGACCTTTTTCCGGCTGCATGGTTCAGGGTTTAGGGTTGAGGGTTTAGGGTTTACTGTTTAGGGTTTAGGGTTGAGTTGGTTCTTGAAGGGTACATGTCATGCAGAAGGTATACACTTCGGGACCAAGGGAGCTCATAAATAATTATCAGTTTTGGTCCCACGAAAAAACTGTGCTGCCACATGAACCCTTGGAGTTGTTAGATTTAACATGTAGGATTCAGGGCTTAGGGTGTAGGAAAATGAAAAAGCTGAAGAGAAGATGGAAGCAACTCCTTAGGGCTTCTATAGGGTGTAGGGACTGGAAAAGAAGTTGGAAACTACTTTATCGTTGGGCATGATATAGAGCCACTACAGGGATCCAGTCCTCTAATCCCCCACTAAAGGCTGTTGTTCTACACATTTTGGGGGGTCCAACTACTAACAACCCTGCCTAAACCCTAAACTCAGAACTCTACTAACAACCAGCAAGCTTCAGGCGTCCACTCGTCCCGGAGCACTCTGGCTAGCCAATCGAGGACCCAGCTTACATCTTCCTTGCACCGCACGATCACCACATCGATCAGAGGCCTGACCACGGGCGCCTGACCACGAAATGAATGCGAGGGTTTCCCAAAATTAGGCGTACCTTCTTGAGGGTCCCAATAATGAGGATTATAGTACTTGGGGGACTATATTGGGGACCTCTAATTCTGGAAGCTACCATCTGTAACTGCATAGCAGCACATTGGGATTTGGTTCGATCCTGAAAAAAGCATTGCTACAGCCATTCGGGAGTCCAAAAACGAGATTTAGGGATTGCGGCTCTCAAATTCTTAGCCAAAGCTCTTAGTCTACAGCCAAGCAGCATCTTCTGCCAGGGCTGCCTTAGGGCAGGCATTGATGCCCAAGGCTGCACAGGTGAAGGATTCACGCCTTGAGTGGAGGACTGTTTGAAACTGATCCATGGCCCGATTGAGGGGTGCGAAGGAGCCAAAATGCGAAAGCATCTCATTGGCGGACTCTGCAGCCCCTTCTCTGTCGTGCACTTCCCAGGTATGCTGAAAATACTTCAACAACACTGCAGGAGGCACCAGCAGAGCCATGTACTCGGCATAGAGGTAGCTTGCCAGCAGAACAATCGCGGAACACTGCAGCTCCATCATGTGGTAGCCGGACAACACGTTGTTCCTTAGGCGCTCTCATGATTAGGGGAACATCTCAGCTTACCTGCGCGAGTGCAGTTGCAACTTTCAAGCTTATATCACAGGCAGCAACAATGATGCTCGCTGGCATAACAGAGCTCAGAAACCCAATCCTTAACTGCAAGACACAGAGCTTAACGATGACCCAGCACGAGCATGCTTGGCGATGGCCACGGTGTCGGCGGTGATCGCGCAAGGGAGCGGAAAGGCGACGATGAAGATGAGGAGGGAGACGGAGAAAAGAGCACAGGCGGTTTAGGGTTTAGGGTTTGGGGTTTAGGGTTTAGGGTTTAGGGTTTGGGGTTTAGGGTTTAGGGTGGAGTCGGGAGCAGGGAGGAGGGAGGGACGAGGAAAACACAAGAAGCCGCTCAACCCAAGCCATCTTAAGACCTGTTACTACTAATAGTACAAGTGATCATCCCAGTCATAGTAATAGTAATAGTAATAAGAATAATAGTAATAGTAAGAGCAGTAATAGTAATAGTAAGAGCAGTAATAGTAGCAATAATAGTGATATTAATTGTAATTGTATTGGTAACTACGCACAGTAACCCTAAACCCTAAACCCTAAAACCGCTCAAGCAAGGTGAAAGGCCCAGGATCTGCTTGGAAGCAGGCACTGCCATCATCAGGGCAAGCAGCCACACATCTTCCTGGCGTAGGGCTTAGGGTTTAGGAGTATAGGGTTTAGGGGTTTTAGGATTTAGGGGTTTAGGGATTAGGGGTTTTAGGGTTTAGGGGTTTAGGGTTCAGGGGTCTAGGGTTTAGTCAGCATGGGAGAAGCTCAAAGCTCATCCTCGAATACGTCCCATGGACCGCAGCACTCACAGCTCCGAAGCAACAAGGAGTTTAGACCCTACACCCTAAAGCCGAAATCCTAAACTCTGAGCCTTATATGATCCCCTAGATAACCCCCTTTATGGACTTTAGCTATGGGTCACATGGATTCAGGATATCCGGCTGTTGTGCAGGCGGCATCTCGGCTTGGGGAAAGGCCAGGGGAGATATTGCACGTTGCTAAGAGTGGACCCTGACCGTAAACTCTAACCCTTTACGGTTTGGGATTTAGGGACCCTAAACCTACCTGTACCCCAACAAGCTGTTTTCGTGGAGTCCCTCTCACAAAAGTGCAAGGACTGCTGCGCAACGTACTGTTTAGAGAATGCACAAACCAAAAAGACAAAGGACAACGACCCAAAACCCGTTTTTAGCCCTCCGTGAGCCCTAAAACCTGAACTTACGTTTAAAGCCCTATAAGCCTGAACCCTAAACCCAAAATCCTAAGCCCTAAACCATGAACCTTAAGTCCAAAATCCTAAGCCCTAAACCCTGAACCCTAAGCTCAAAAGTCCTAAGCCCTGAACCCTGAACCCGACTGAGCTTCCATGGGAGGCTTGCCGCCAGCATAGAATGACAGTGCGCGCTCCTGAGGGCGGGGAGCAACTCGGCCTTTTCAATTATTTTCTGGCAGTGTGCTTGGGCCCCAATGTTGCCAGAAACTCTTTCAGGAATACGCCCCAGGTCCATGCCACAAGCAGCCTCTCAACCTCAGCCATAATTAACATAAAAATCCTTAACCCTTTGAACCATACCTGTAAGCCCAATGACCTATAACTTAGTAGAAATTTCCCAATATTGAGTAGGCAGGTTTACCTCCTGAAGCTGTAGGTAAGTGGGGCTACAGGGAGAGCCTAAGAGCACAGCCCCTCAAGCTCCTGGAACTCCGTACCATCGAAAGTCCATACCTCAAGGAGGTTTTAGAACGGGTCTAGGGTTTACTGCTGTTTAGGGATTAAGGCTTGGAAGAGTCTAGGGATTATAGGGTGTAGGGATTAAGACTTAGAGTTTCGGGTACGTCTTAGAACAAGGCACTGGGGGAGTCCCTGGAGCCTGTATACTAATGTGGGCGTTTCCCGAAAATAGGAGCCCCTTCTTATTGCGGGATGCCTAAGGAAGATTGTATTTCGTTTTGAAGTTTACATTTGGGTCTCCACTTTTTGGAAAGTACACTATGGATATCTGAAGAGAAGTACACCCTACGCCCCCCAAAAGCGCGGAGGCGTGGTTTCAGATCCTGCAGTTCTGCAGTTCATACAAAAATTCCTGTATCACTCGAAGATACTATGATACCATATTCCCCCAGGTGTAACGGTAGTTAGCGTCTTGCAGGATTTTTAACATCCACCGTGGGACATCAGCTTCTGGCGGCTTACGCCTTGAATGTGTAGCTACCCAAGGGCTCCTATGTAGGTGCTGTTTGGTTTGCTATGGCCTTGGAGTATTCGAAAACCCTAAACCCTAACATATACTTGACATACTACACAAAATAGAACTGAATCGGAGGCTCCGGGTAGCTGCGCTTTAGATCCCGAAATTAACCCTACATCCGGGACCCCTTCTTACTGGTTATTGGTAGGTAATAGGGGAAGATTTTATATGAGGGGTATGTAGGGATTATATTCCTTTATCCCCTACTAAGAACTAAGAACCAATAAGTTTCCCGGAACCCTGATCTCGCTGTCTATGCCTCTCTCCTGTGCTCTCACAGGGTCTCACAGGTCTTAAGGGTACTAGTCAACCCCGACACCCCAAAACCCCCGTTGTTTACATACATACCAAATCCCTCTAGGCTTGATCACATGCCGCTATCATCAAGCAAGACATGTTACACTTGTATTCTTTTGGGAACGAATCCTTGCTACAAGGGGGTTCCGGCTGGTCAATGTAAAGCCCTGATTAATAAAGCCCCTCCCCTAAATAGGGATCATAACAGGGATCTGAAGGCCCTTGAAAGGAGGGGGTTTATGAATCTGGTCTATACTATCCAGTTTAATCCGGGCGCCATCAACTTTTCCGAGGGGTCCAACTTTGGGACTTCCCCGGTGAAGTTGGCCGCGGCCAGGATCTCGTCAGCTCCCATCCCCATGCCGGCGATGGGTAGGAAGACACCTTCATGACTTAGGGACCTAGGGCTTTAGGGCTTTCGGGCTTAGGAGTAACGGGTTCAAGGTTTCAGTACATTGAGGTGTACCGGCTAATCCCTTGCCCGCAGTAATGCAACCCCGGATATTGAATAATACATCCGGAAGCATGAAATACTCAAATACTTGTTCATGGGAGCAGGCTTTTTTTGATGCGGCCGCTAAGGGAGAACATGAGGATGAATTGGGCGTCTCTGAATGATGTACTGAAAGGCTATAATCAAGAACCCTATGACGGATTTGGGGTCTCCTTGATTTCCTAATTACCCTAAGTCGCTTACACTTTCTGGGGTATAGATGAAGACGTTCATCTAGAACAGTTTCATGGATTTCGTTGGAATGCAGATTGCATTTTTCCTGTGTATTTTGTTAAAGCAGGATTCCTTGACGGAAAACAATTGGAGTCGGTGGTGTCCTTAACTCCTAGATGCTTATTCCGCGTCGTTCCAATGTGAATTTCTGCAAGCGGTTCTAACAGAAGCCTGGAGAAAATTAGAAATCCGTTCCCTCCTTGATGACCGAGAAAGCAGTTACTTTTGAAATGTAGCTGCAGTAAGGCCCTATCAAAGTATTTCCTTGGGAACCCCCTATAGCTCGGGATTGTCATGAACCCACAACCTAAATTCCTGGAGACTTCCCAACTGAGAAAGAGAAATAAAAACAAGTTCAGCTTATTTAGCAAGCCCATGAACAACTCAACCCTAAACCCCAAACCCTAAACCCTTTCCCCCACACCCATGTACCCTAAACCCTATACCCCAAACCATATACCCTAAACCCGAAAGTGGCCGAGATGCCTCCCTGGAGGCTCGACACCTTGGGCACGCGCATGAAGCGAAACCCGCAGACCAACCGGGGCGTAAGCCACGAATGATCCCACACGTTCACCTGCTGTGAGGAATATGGCTTACGGTTGGGGTGGGTGCAGGCACCAGTTGCAGGCCCTAAGTTTATGTGTGGTATGAATACATAACTATCAAAAACGGTGTGTCAGCGCTTGAAAAACCTAATTGACTTCAGGAAATCTAGTTTGGACTAGTGACTAGTGGGACATCTGGATGTCGCCTGATAATCTTGGCGAATGTAGGGACACGTTCGGGATACAGCTCCCACTTAGGCACTCTTGACGTATACACATATATATATATATATACATATATATGATATGTATCTGCACCCTACGCACCCCGATGAGGAACAACTCCCACACACCCTGCCCAGCAAAAAGATGAAGCCAAAAGCAGCCCCTTTTTGACAGTAGTCCGTCATGGTAGACCCATTTGATGGCTCTAGGTTTGTTTGGCAAAGCATAGGGGGTCTGCGAATGCTGAAGCTAGGCGCAGACAGCCTAATATGCACAAAATCGAATCCCGTCAGATCCTAAACATGCCCTCCGTGCCTTCCTGGTTCCCTTGACATCCATGGCTCAGAAGTGACACCAACAGCAGTCCCACAGCTTTCAAACACCTATATTATCCCCAGACATCCTTCGTATAATATTTACAAATACAATGAAAAGGACAGGGCCTTGGTACATTCCCCTTGAGAAAAACTACCTTGGCATATTTTCTTTCTCCCCGAAGCACCCCTAGGCCACAACCTCAAAACTGCGGCGACACCTACGAACCTCCAAAACCCATTTCAAACAAGAGTGCAAAGACCTCAATCATCAACACCTCCCTCCCCACTTAACCACCCCTAAACCCTAAACCCCTTGTCTGTGGGAGTCCTGACCGCCTTTCATTAGACAGTCAGCTGGAAATCCTTACATGACAGCCCAAAGCCTTACCAGACCAGTAAGAGGATCCGAAGTGTGATGCTTAC